AGTGTCATGCACATTTTTTATCAGGAAAAAGATAGGGAAATGCAAAATTTTGGCAGTAAAACGGCGATTTTAAGCGCAGTAACCGATCAATCTTCATTTTCTGCACGAATTTTGCAAATAAATGGCACACTGCGTCTTCTTAGCGAAAGGGAATTGAACGAATACCATTTTTAACGGCGAAAATGAGAAAAGACACCCGAAGGAGTGAGAATTTCTGGCAATCTGAAGATTCGATTCTGTAGACCTGAACTCCAGCTGGAACTTGGCAACTTTATATGTGAGTTTTTTTTCTCTAGCTCATATATATCAAATTATCAATATATTTTTGTGAAGTGCAATGTTGTATCAAAGGGTTGTCGTTAGTTTAAACATTGCATAAACAGCATTCAGATACGAAAATGAACATCAACATTCAACATGGACTGATGGAGATATGGACATGGAGCCACAGTACTCTAAAATACTCATATAGACTTTATTTAACTTATATGTTGACCCAATGGTGGGGGATTGGTCAAATTATACTTTATAGTGATTCCCCTAAATTAGTGCATTGGTTATTGACAGTGCACTGACAACCTTTTTTTGGCTCTCAAAGACAATTTCTCAGACATGCCAAGTCACTGTACATGTTTAATAAAAATCTAATCTGTTTATTTATTTTATTTTTTATTTTGCTTTTCTAGATTGCCAATCATTCCTGTTGAACTACATTATTCATTACAATGAATCAGATGCAGAATCTTACAACTATGTTAATTTGTTCGCCTGATTGGGGAAAACCTGAGACTATTTGATCTTATATTGGAATGCCTACCAATTTTACATAGCCTCAGGCAATGTTTATATAATTAATCTTGAGTAATAGAGATGCTGTACCCCCTGGCGGTGTGACCTTGCTACCTGGATCATCCCACTAGGCAAGACAAGTGGGGGGTAGGATTTCCCTAGTACCCGGAGACCATATAAACAGGCCTTCAGATTACTGTAATAGTTTAATTGAGGTTCAAAAAAGCAGCCCCCCCCCCCCAATGCAACTAAAAGTGGTAGGCCTGCTCTCCAAATCCAGCCCCCCTTGGAAGATGTACTGTAAAGCTAGACAATTTTACTTGTTAGTTACCCAACTTGGTGCCCTGATGCACCCTACTTTATTATTTTACTCTGTCTAACAGCAGACAATTTTACTCATCAAGGGGTGGGCACATGACTTTAAAGGGAAAGTATTAATTGGGAATACTTTCTCTTTTAATGGGAAACTCTTTATCAATAAAAGGAACAATGCAATTATTCATAGTATTTAACTTTTCATATAAAGCAAAGACTGTAAGAGGAAACATGGATCATTGGCTACTTTTTTATTTAGTATTAATTTTCATGACAACATGTGGGGTCAACTATAAAGGAAACAGTTATTGCCTATTTTGGAATAAAAAATTTAGAATATTCATTGACATTGAACACATATTTATTTAGTTTTTGAATAATTTAAGTTCTTAAATGTATATAAATGTGAAATAAAATAAACATTTATTAAAATAAACTTTGTATTTTTTAAACCCCAATTACACTGTTGTATTTACATTTCATTGTAGTATTTACACTGTAGTATTTACATTTCAAGACCTTAACCAACATCATTCCTTGGAGTTTCTCATGACAAGATGTCTCAACCAGGATCCTCTGGAGAACTTCTTTGGCCTCATTAGGCAGGGGGGGGGGGGATTGTGACAACCCATTAGTCCCATCCAGTTCACCAGAGCATTTTGCATATTATTTGTAGATAACATTTTGACACCACTTTCAATTGGCAGCTGTGCTGAAGATTCTGATGCCTATTTGATTGCATTTCACCTTAGCCAATCTGATTTATCTGCAGGGAATGATTAGACAAGCCCACCACTAATCCAAGCAGTTGAAGATACCGACTACAAAACAAATGAAATTGAACAAAACTTAGTCTGCATGAACTTATGTGTTAGGCTATTTATTAAGGAAGTGCCTTATCCAACATAGCTGTCCAATATGCCATCATAATTTTGTGACAAAGGATGTCAATGACAGTAGTCTCTGCTATTCTGCATGTTCAAGACCTCTGACCTTTGAAGGCATAAGCATGCATAAGCATGCCTTCAAATGCGGAATAACAACCCGTAAAGAAACGTTTCTTTGCTGGAGAATACATTTGTGAATGTGGTTATTTATAGTTGCACAGAAAGTATTAAAAACATAGGTAGTTTTGCTCACAAATCCCAAAGCTACATGCATGGAACCTGATGGACGTGTTTCAAATAAGCACCTATGCTTTCTTATTAATAATGTAAAAGACAGGAAAGCAATACGTTTGGCCCGCATTAATTTTATAGCGAAATTAGCGAAATGAGAATCTGCTTCTTGGCAGAACATCACAAGCACCGAGATTGTATATTGTATTATACTATTTTTTCTTTGTATTTAGCCTATAAACGTATATCTTTTTACATAAAAATAACCACTTACCATTTATCTTTCAAATTTGAGTCCCAAAATGAAGATCGGTCGAGCAACTTCGCAAAAATATTTATTTTTCTACTTTCGAACGGTGTTTTTCCTATGCTTTTGACTGAAAACACGACGAATGACACTTGCCAGAGCAATTTGCGTGGCGCGTGGAAATGACGTTGCACGGGGACACAAAGAACAAAGGAATCGCCGCGAGTTCCGCCTCTGTATACTCTGTGACTCTGTGTTGATGGCGTGGCTGGGTGCCTCAACCTAGTCACAGAATAAGGTACACAGAAGGTCGACTCGAGTAACCGCTGCCACGCCATGATTCATCATCAAAATGCTGACGCCATGGTCCTAGCCAGTGCGCGTTTGAGAGGCATTTCCCCCCTGGACATCCGCCATTTTGAATATTATCAGGGGGGTGAATGCCTCTCAAACGCGCACTGGCTAGGACCATGACGTCAGCATTTGATGACGAATCACGAGTTACGCCAAAATCATAGGAAAATCATAGGAAAAACGAAGAAGTCGGCCTTCTGTGTACCTTATCACAGAATAGAAAATAAGACCAGAAGCACAGAATAGGAAGTTATACCAGAAGCGTAACTCGAGCAAATATTTGTCCGCGTTTTTACAAGCGATTCGTCATCAATCACGCCATCAATCACGCCATCCTGGCTAGTACAACCGGCACTTTGTACCTACCAAATCCTGATAAAAACTTCCGGCTGTACTAGCCAGGATGGCGTGGCCTGACGTGAGTGAGTTAAAATTTTCGTGGTGACGTCAAACAATAAGGGAAACGACTAGAGTTACGCTTCTGGTATAACTTCCTATTCTGTGCCAGAAGCCTCACTCAGCCAAAATTATGTCCGAGATTTTTTATGCGCAGGCGCGAGCCAGCAAGTGTAATCCACGCCATAAAACGCGAGCAATTACGCCATCAATTGCCATTACCAGGTAATAAAGATTGCTGTTTTAACCGTTTTGCTGACGAACGCTGACGTGATGTTCGCAGCAAGTGTCACACACGTCATCTAGCGTGCGAAATTCGTGATCCGCAAGGCGAAAATCGCGGACACGAAAATGTTAAGGAAAGGCGTACAGTGAGACTTCTGGTCGATTATATATTCTATGCTATTGTGCACACTAGTGAACGGGGGCTTTGTATTTCATGAACAAGGAGACTAATATGCATTGTGTTACGGCGGAATTTTTTAGCCTCGCGACATGTGCAACGAACTTGAAAGATATAGCAGATATGTGACGGCCTAACCAGGTATTATGTATGGTTTACCTAAAGTCCATAAGCCTAATTTCCCACTTAGACCTATAATCTCTGCTATTGGCACTCACTCCTACAAACTTGCTAAATTTCTTGTTCCTCTTCTCCGTCCTTTCTCTACTAACACTTTTACAATTAATGACACCTTTTCATTTGTTAAAGAATTACGTGAATTAAAAATTAATACTAATGATGTCATTATAATGGCTAGTTTTGACGTTAAGTCTCTCTTTACTAACATACCATTAGATGAAACTATTGATATAATCATTAATAAATGCTTTGCTAGTGCTACACACTATCATGCCATCTCTCGCGATCAATTTAGAGATCTTTTAAATCTTTCTGTGAAGAATTGCCATTTTTTATTTGATGGTGTTCTATACAAACAGGTTGACGGTGTAGCAATGGGTTCCCCCTTAGGTCCATTGTTTGCTAATATATTCCTATCTTTTCATGAGAAATCCTGGTTAGCTGACTGCCCTTCTCTTTTTAAGCCTATATTCTACCGTCGATATGTTGATGATTGTTTTCTTATTTTCACATCACGTGACCATGTTACTCCTTTCCTCTCCTATCTAAACTCGAAACACCCCAACATTCAATTTACTCATGAGCTTGAAAGTAATTCGTGCCTTCCTTTTCTAGATGTCAAGGTCATTCGATCTAACGGTTCTTTCGCTACCACGGTTCATCATAAATCTACTTCCACCGGATTGTTTACCAATTTTGACAGTTTTATTCCAATGCTGTACAAGAAAGGTTTACTTTTCTCTCTTATTTCTCGTTATTTCAACATTTGCTCTTCTTATGTATTTTTCCATTCTGAAATGGAAAAATTCAAGAAAACGTTCTCTCTTAATGGTTATCCTGCAACACTTGTTGATAGTTGTATCAAATCATTTCTTGATAAAATGTATAACTCTCGAGATAAAGTTCATACTTGCTCTAAAAAGGTTATATATTTTTGTCTTCCTTCCACTGGTCATCATGGTTTGCAAATTCGATCACAACTTCAGAAATTTCTTTCTTCTGCTTATCCACATATTCCCTTACGTGTCGTCTTTCGTCCTTCTTTCCGTCTTTCGAACTTCTTCCCATTTAAGGACAAAATTCCCTGTGAACTGAGATCGCATGTTGTGTATTTGTATAAGTGTCAATGCTGTGGTGCATTGTATGTTGGTCAAACTCGCCGACACATACACACGCGTATCTCTGAACATATGGGTGTTTCACCTTTGACTGGAAAGAAACGTTCTGTTTCAACCATGTCAGGCATACTCGCTCATATCCATAACACTAAACATCAAATTTCACCCTCTGATTTTAAAATCCTTTCCACTGCTACTTCTGAAGCGGATTTACTCATTCGCGAAAGCCTTTTCATATCTAAACTTAATCCTATTTTAAATGCCAACATTAGGTCAACTCCTCTTGACCTATTCTAATGCTTTGCTATAGGTCTGTAATTACTAATAATTACTAACCATTATATCTTTAATTTACTAATATTTTTAATGATAGGTTGTTTTTCATCCCTTCCTCTTATTCGCTTATTTGAATAATGTATAACCGTTTAAAATTTGTATATATGAATGCACGCTTGTAAATCAGTTTAATTGCTCTGCAGATGTTGTGAACAATACAACGAAACGTTAGCCAATAAATTTTATATTTTTGTTATGTCTTGTCTGAAAGTAATTTGCTGGGCTTTAATTTTCATTTTTAAATTACGCTTTCCACCCGGTGTATCAATCGCTACTGTTTTAAGATGAAACATGTTAAACAACGCTCATCACATACCTTAATACCAAACGCTATAAAACAAACAACTAGCGAGCCGCCCCCAAAACGTGAGAACAAACGACCAAATTTAAAAATAAATCCTTCGTTCGATCAGCAATTAAAGGACTATAGAACCAAACATGATAGTCAATGCCCGATATCCACAACAAAACAGCAACCAATAAAAGAAAACAAGAAAACATCAGTACTTGGTCATAATCAGCAAGCTGTTTCATCTAGCAAACAACACGTGAACTATAGAGAGAACAACACTATTACGCTAGAAATAAACACAACAACAAAATACGTTCAAACCACAATAGGTTTAATAAACCTACACCAAAACCGGCAAATCATCGTATCCACAACCAAAGTCAGCATCGTACCCCTCCAGCAGCAGATTATGGCAACTCCTCTGATTTTTTTCCAGCTTCGCTCCCTTTTCAATTGGGTCGATATTCTCCAACCCATCCCCGAAGGCAAGAATGGATATTTTACCTGAAATACGTAAATCGTGTGACAAAGAGATAAATGATATTTTGAACTCTAATGTCCTTACACGCTGTGTTCAAACATGTATTATAGAAGAAGGCAAAATTCCTCCACCTAACAGCCCAGATAAAAACCTAACAACTTTCTCGTCGAATAAATCGAAAAGGGTTCCACACAAATTGTCATTCATCCATTTAAATATTCGATCTTTAAAAAACAGAAACCACTTCCTTCAACTTCGCGAATTTGTCCGAGTTACAAATTATCACATAATTATATTATCAGAAACTTGGCTGAACAAATCAGTCAAAAACGCCGAAGTTGAAATTGAAGGTTATAAAATATTTAGACTGGACTGAAAGGACAAACGCGGCGGAGGAGTGTGCGCGTACATTCGTAGCCCGTTAAAGGCACAAATATTGAAAGGCTTGTCCGGTACATCAACAACCTGGTTTCAACAACTTTGGTTACAAATTCAATATAAAAAGATTAGATCATTCGTAATCTGTGCTGTTTATAGACCTCCTGACTGTCACGTTTCCTGTTTTGAGGATTTTTTAAAGCCTTCTTCGATCTACGCCTTATCGCTCAACAAGCCTGTTATAATTCTAGGTGATTTAAATTACAATCTTTTACAACAAAATCCTGACGGTTTGTCATTGCTGAATTTTGCTTCTGAATTGAACCTCGAACAATTGATTACTTCACCCACTAGGATCACTGAATCTAGTGAATCATTAATAGACGTTGTAATTAATGCCCTCGACTCCGGATCTTGTACAGGAAAGTGGAGTTATTGAAACCTCCATAATTAAGTGACCATATTTCAGTTTACATGGTACTGAACTTAAAACTTCCTAAACAACCACGAAGTTACATCACTGTGCGTAGTTTTAAAAACTATAACCCTATGTTATTTACAGCAGACCTCGTTTCCAAACACGAGACACTTTTACAATCAATTTTTACGGAAAGCGATGTGAATTCAAAATTAGCAATATTAAACGACGCTCTATTATCCACCTTACAAACTCCTGCACCAGTTAAGACGATCAGAGTTCGTAATCGTCCATGCCCCTATATCACTCAAAATATAAAGGATTTGATGGCACACAGGGATCAACTTCACAGGCAATTCAAAAGTTCACGTGATGTCGGAGATTGGACAACCGACAACGTATAAAAACGCGAGACAATCAGTCAAAATTGCCCTAAAGAACGCAGAGAAAGGATATGTTCGCGGCGAAGTATTAGCCCATAAGAACAATACAACAACTTTATGGAAAATTATCAATCGTTGCATTCCCAGCAAAGAAAGAAAAATTCAATGTTATGGTAAATATTCGGAATAGATTGAAAATGAATTCAACCAATTTTTTATCGCTGTTGGAGAAAAAACTGCAAACGCTGCAGCTCAAGTAGCCCTGGATAATAATCTTAACGGACCAACTTCAAGCTCTTTTCCTGCACTATCACCTGCACACACCTGCATGAAATGTTTCACTTATCGCCCGTTTCGTGTACTGATATTAAACGAATCATCATGTCTATGCCTTCAAACAATTGAAACAAAACACCAGGACCGGACAAAGTTAGTATGAGTGTTTTAAAAGATTGCCTTCCTGTTGTTCTTGGTCCAATTACCAACATTATCAATTGCTCCTTCGCCACATC